GGGATACGGAATGTGGAGTTTAGCAGAGTCCAGACCAGAGATATAAATGAGAGGATCTCATCAGTTTGAAGAAGGAACATGAAGTTGTAAGAATGGACTGGAGGGTGGCGCCTGTGGCTCAAGGAGTAGGGCATTGGACCCATATACTGGAGGTAGTGGGTTCAAACCTAGCCCTGGCGAAAAAACTGCAAAAAAACCCAAAAATAATAAAATAAAGAATGGACTGGAAAATGTGTTTCTGTGGCCTTTCAGAGCTGACTGAGAAAATCACTGTTGACAGAAAAGAAATGTCCAAGGACAGAATCCAGAGGTTCATAAAGTCAGCAAGGAGGTGGTTGGTCAGGGAGTGGGGCAGGGGAAGCCTTGTGCTCTGAGGTCCACTCTGCTGATGGGCCAGGAAGCTTTGGAATGAGAATCATTCTGCACACGGTCATGGTGGCTGCTGGGGACCTTGACAAGAGCAGCTTCAGAGAAGAGATGAGGGTAAAAGCTTGACTGGTTTCAAAGACAATGAGGCGAGAGAGACTGGAAGTAGTGAAGAGATGCAATTCTTTTAGGATTTGCTGCAAAAGGATGAAGAAAATTGTAAATGGGGCAGCGCCTGTGGCTCAAGGGAGTAACCCACCGGAGGTGGTGGGTTCAAACCCAGGCTCGGCCAAAAGCTGCAAAAAAGAAAAAAATAAATAAAATTATAAATGATATCTGGAAGGGCAGTGGATTACGATAGCACACTTGTATGCTCTTTTTTTTTGCAGTTTTTGGCCAAGCCCAGCTTAAACCGGTATATGGAGCTGGTGCCCTACTCCTTGAGTCACAGGCATCACCCAACAGCATGCTAGTATGTTGATGAGGAAAGGGACAGCCAAAGGAGAGGAGGCGTGCTGGAAGGAGGTGCTCAAACAGGCTGGACAGGGAAGGGAGTGAATGTTCAAGCCGAGGGCCAGCTCTTACTAGGAGCACTGGACACTCCTACCAAAGAGGAGAAGGGCGGTAGGCACAGACTTGCGGGTGGAACGGGTGGAAGGTGCAGGAATGACTCAAATGAACTTTGAAACTTGTAAACAAATGATCTGCCCTACAGTCCTATCTATTCTCCTCAGGACTTTTTAAATCATAGAATAACATTAAGTGTGCACAACATTAGAACAATTTTATTTATTTTTAAAATTTTAAAAATATTTTTATTGTTTGGGATTCATTGAGGGTACAAAGAATTAGGTGACACTGATTGCATTTGTTGAAGTCCCTCTTCTCGTGTCCCACCCCCAAGAGGTGTGCCATACACTGTGTCCCCCATCCCCCCTCCTCCCCTCTCCCTCATTCCCCTACCCCACCGCTTGTATTAGCTCATCTGCTGCCTTCATATTACAATTGAGTACATTGGATTCTTGCTTCTCCATTCTATTTTTTTTAGACAGAGCCTCAAGCTGTCCCCCTGGGTAGAGTGCTGTGGCATCATAGCTCACAGCAACCTCCACACCTGGGCTCAAATGATTCTCCTGCCTCCACAACGCTGGGCTGTTTTTTGGTTGCAGCCGTCATTTGTTTGGCGGCGTGGGCTGGATTCAAACCTGCCACCTTAGGTGTATGTGGCTGGCGCCTTAGCAGCTTGAGCCACAGGTGCTGAGTCTGCTTCTCCATTCTTGTGATGCTTTACTAAGAATGTGTTCCCCTCCATCCAGGTTAATACAAAAGATGTAGTCTCCATTTAACAAGCCATACATTTAAGGGAAACTATTCCATAGATAATTTTGAAAATTGTTGTGGGTTTTTTCTTTTCTTTTTGAGACAGAGTCTCACTTTGTCGCCCTTGGTAGAGTGCTGTGCCATCACAGCTCACAGCAACCTCAAACTCTTGTGCTTAACTCTTGCCTCAGCCTCCCAAATAACTGGGACTAGAGGTGCCTGCCACAATACCCAGCTATTTTTTTGTTGTAGTTGTCATTGTTGTTTAGCAGGCCCAGGCCAGGTTTGAACCCGCCAGCCCCAGTGTATGTGACCAGTGCCCTAACCACTGAGCTACGGCGCCAGGCCTTAAAATCTTTTAATTTTAATAACACAATGACTAAAGATGCCTACCTAGGGAATTTCCAAATAATCCGAATTGCCATTTAAAAGAAAACAAGTATCACTTCTCTGGGTGAAAAAAAGCAGGCCTAATTCCATTTTGTTGTAACTCATTCCTCAAAATCAGTGGGGATGGCTCGGTGCCTATGGCTCGAGTGGCTAAGGCGCCAGTCACATACATCTAAGGTGGTTAGAATCCAGCCCGTGCCTGCCAAAACAACAATGACGGCTGCAACCAAAAAAATAGCCTGGTGGTGTGGCAGGCGCCTGTGGCCCCAGCTACTTGGGAGGCTGAGGCAGGAGACTCGCTTGAGCCCAGGAGTTGGAGGTTGCTGTGAGCTGTGATACCACGGCA